TTCTGAGTCGATTTAGATTTGTCAGTCCGTCTCTTCGGCTGTCCGTCCGTCCGTCAATCCCAACGATAACTCAAAATCTAATTCAGCTAAGTTCACCAAATTTTCACAAATGATTTATTGCAGCAATTGCCAGAACCCTATTCCATACAACTTCCATACAACTTCAAAATTTATTTGGCTATATCTTAGAAACCATGAAAGTTGTGTTATTGAAATTTCGTATAAGTAAATATATTAGTAGGGCTAATGTGCTTGATAAAAGTCGTTGAAATTACTTGGCTCCTTTTGGTAGCTGCCATACTACTTCAAAAGTTATTTCACTACAACTCAGAAACTATAAAAGCTTTTACATTGAAATTTTATACTAGCGAATATATCATTATGGCCAATATGTTTTATAAAAGTCGTTGAAATTTGTTGGCTCCTTCTGGTAGCTGCAATGCAACTCCAAAAGTTATTTGGCATTATCTCACAAGTTACTGGAATTATAATATAGAAATCGCGTGAAAACAAATGTTAGGACTCTTGACTCGCGTGAAAACAAATGTATTTAAATTTCTTGACTCGTTTCTCTTAAAAAATATTGAAAAGTTATAGTCTGTCCCATTGTAATCTATGGCATAATTATTCGCACATAGGATAACAAACTCATACGGGTATCACAGAGTTGACACGGTCAACTCTATTTTTTCTTGTATTTTTCTACTTTTCAGCTTTTTTAATTCTATTTTTCAGTATTTTGGATGGGAAATTTTTATTTTTCAATTTTTAAGAAAAATATACTGAAAATTGCAAAATATATGAAAATATTCAAGAAGTTACAAAACCCAAATTATAAAATTATGATTTCTAACTTCAACCAATATTCTTTTTAAAAAACTAAAAAAACAGAAATAAATTGACACATAAAATTTCATCAAAATCAGTTCAGCCGAATTTGAGATACACGCGTGCACACACAGACCGACAGACCGACGAACCGACATGCAGACAGACTGACAGACCAACAGACCGAAAGGTTGCTAAAAATTGTTTATTTACACTTCCCTACTATGGAGAAGTGCATTCCCACCGAAAATTCGATATGCAAAATTTGTTGCCATCACATAACCTACCTGTTGTATACACAATACGATTGGTAACAATTCGAACAATGTGGATCAATATATTAATAACGTAAGTTACATTAATAATGTACTGAAAGACAAGTAATTGCATTAATAATGTAATAAAAGACAAGATGGAGTTTCGGAAGTAGATAATATACAGAGAAATAACAACGAACACTAAAATAGATTAAAAATAGGAAGAACTAAACATGAATAACCAAAAAAATTAATTTTTTAATAATCTGATGATTAATCAAATCAGATATGCGCGTTAAAAATAGTTAATAAAACCATAAAGGTTCAGATACACTCGTTTTCCAAAAATAAATTTGAAAACAAGGCGCTCATTAGTTTCACTATGTCCTTCTGTAGAAGATTTTTACCTATCTCTTTCCTTCTAACAGTTGTAGCCCCACAAAGATCTAAAAATGCCATTTGTTGATTATTTATTGTAACAACAATACAAAAAACTAATAAACACTTTTCAAACATTTTTTGGAAAAGTGCTAAAATTTTTGTATTGTTTTTCTCCATCTCCACCCCCTTGCAAATTACCGCTTCACGAAGTTTGTAAAATTTAAATATTTGGTACATAATTTTGAGACACCGCAAGCTTTTTCGAATTTCTATAAACTCAGAAAGCTAACGGTAAATTCCATAATATTAAAAAATATAATTATTTTTCTTAACTCACACAATTAACAAAAATAAAATCGAGTTAACCCCTGTTTAAATTAATTTTTGCTTTCATCCTAAATATATGCAATCCTTAATGAAATAGTTTCGTAAATGAATGAAAATAATTTTAATAGTGAAGTAGATAGACCTAGTTTATTTTAAAAAGCAGTATTTTCACTTGTTGAAGGAAAAAGTGCTACAATACAAACCATTGGTTTGATCCAACTTTATTTAAATTCTGCAAACGCAGAAAAGAAGTGGTGGGCCTCCTCTATCACGGCATTCTATATTTCAACTTCAAAAAAACAAAATTGACGTCAAAATCTAACGTTATCTAAATCTGTTTTTTTTTCAAATATTTGATATACTTTATCTTGTAGACCGCTATCTGTAGGAGTCTGAAATTTTGGCAATTTTTAGACACTAATAAATAGTTTATTTTGTTAAAAGAAAATTTTTTCAACCTCCACCCCCTCTCAAGTAATTGCCTACCGAAATTTCTAAAATTTTAACTTTTGGCACCCTTCATATATATATAAACAAGTAAAAACTTCTCAGTCGGTATAAACCGACCGAATCATACCCTGCACCTTGGCAATCTGAGTTTAAAATTTGTTTTTAAAAAACCTAGCTTTAATTGTTAGTATACAACTCGAACCTCTTAAACCATTTTATAAAAATTGCACGGATATGTCCGATCTATAACTGAACACACAACTGCCAAGTTACGTGAACTTAACTTTATTATTTTTCCAAATATTTAAAATTAGCTTTTGGAGTTGTGTGGCAGCTACCCGAACCAGTGCAGCTATTCTATTAAAAATTTTAAAACATATGCAAAGTTTAATTGGACACATCTTTGCAAAATTTGATGTTAATATCTTTGTTGGTTTTTGATTTATTAAAAAACCTGTTTGAGTTGTATGGCAGCTACCTGAACCCGTTGTCCGAGTACAATAGCAGCCGTCCTTTGCACAAATGAAACAACCTGTGAAAATTTGATGTCGATTGCATTATTCGTTTTTCAGTTATCGTGCGATCGGACAGACGGACAAACTTGACTAAATCAACGCAGAATTTTACGCTGAGCAAGAATATATATAGATATCCATACTGCAGATGACTCCTTCAAGTAGTTACAAACTCCATACCAAAGGTAATATACCCTTCAAAAAGTGCATGTTTACTTACAAATTTGCAGGTTTTGCTTATAAATTGAATAAGCCTGCTACCAAGTAAAAGCCATCACATATTATTAATTCTTAATATTGTTTTAATGTTATTTGAATTTTTCTTTAAACTAAATAAAATCAGCAAGAAAATATAATTTGTGAATGAATGTAAAATAAATGAATATCAAATAAAGTTATATTCAAAGATGAGAATTGAGAGCAGAACAGAGTGATTTTTTGTTATTTTTTAGCATTTTTCCAAAAAAATTTTTGAAAAAAGTGCTTAGTAGTTTCACTATGTCCGTCCGTCTGTCCATGTATCTGTTTACAAAACTTCTACACCACATAACATAATTTTTACCTAACTCCCCCCCTATAAAAGTTATACCCCCCCAAAACCCTAAAGACGCCATTTTCAACTATGTATTTACTGCAGTAGAACCATATGCATTTTGCAAATTTTGTAAACGCAGAAAAGCAGTGGGTTGCTTCTTCTATCACGGGATACTATACTTGAACTTTAAAACAACAAAATGCTCGTTCAAATTTACCGTTATATAAAATTAGTTTTTTTCAAATTTTTATGTTTTTTTTCTAAACCCCAGGTTGTGGGCGTTTGAAATTTTAGTATCTATTAGGCACTAATAAATAGTTCATTTCGTTAGAAGAAAATTTTTTCCATCTCCACCCCCTCTCAAGTTATGGCCTCTTGAAATTTGTAAAATTTGAATTTTTGACGCCTTATATTTGTGGAACCACACGTTTTTCTAAATTTCTATAAACGCAAAAAGCTAACGGTAAATTCCATGACATTAAAAAATATTAATATTTTTCTTAACTCATAGAATTAACTCTTAAAATCGAGCATTATGTTAACCCTTCTTTATATTAATGTCCAATCCTAGAAATAGTTTCGTATATGAATGAAAATAATTTTAATAGTGTAGTATGTAGGTATACGTAGATTGTTTTTGAAAACAGTATTTTCTATCGTTGAAGGGAAAAGTGCTACAATACAAAACATTGGTTTTACCCAACTATATTTTATTGTTGCGTTTGTTCATAAATTTAAATAGTAAAAAAAAATTTTGCAGAACATTCCTGAAAAAATACTATTCAGAAAGAAAAGAAAACATTCTCCCAAAACCTAATAGATCCTATGAATTATTTGTTTGCTAATAGATTATTAGACATTCAAATTGTTTACGGTCGAGGTTACAATTTTAGTTTTCTAATATTTCAAATAAGTAAATATTGGGTGGACCGGCCTTAGTATTAAAGCTCTCAGGAAGCTCTCAGGAATTTTTAGGGAAAAATCGAAGAATGAAGGGGTGGAGGTTAGGGAAAGTCTTGAAGAGTTAAAAATTGGATTGAAAAAATTCTGCCCGACCAATATCCATTATAGCTTCAAAGCTAAGCTGTTGAAACTAGACCAAATTGTGATCAAAAATATTTTTATTAATTACACAAATTATCTATTTGTCTTCCAAACGTCACGCGTCCCAAGTTTGAGAGTAAGGTATAGCAATATTGCAGCAATAATTTTTTGGAAAAATTTTCTGCTTTTCAATTCAATATTTTTTGTTTGAGCAGCTATTGTTAAAACGGTAAATCTGACACCTATCATCAGTATGCTGTTATGTAGGTGTATCAATTATAACCCAGGCACACGATTTTTTATGACATGTCTTTATAAGACAAACTAAGGCTTTCGAGAAACTGCTTACGGATCTTCTTGACAGTTCAGCAAAGTTTCAAGGCTTTCTTCAAGGTTTGCATTATATTTTTTTAAAACCTTGAAAGTACGCAACATATTGCGCTCGAAATTGAAAAATTCTACAAATTGTTTCTTTCACCTAGTAGCAATGTGGAACGTAAGCGTACATTACTAATTTATTGTAAAATTTGTTATATAATCAATTTATTTTTAAAAAATTTAAATTAGATGAAAAAAATAAGTTAAATTTATCTAACAAGTGATAAATAAGACTAATTAAAAATAATATTTCACCCACTTTGAAATATTTTAAAAAATACTTACTGAGTTTAAGTTCTGATGCATGTATTTTTGGATTGTGTTCTGTGTACATTTCTGAGGGTTGCAGCTTTTGTTCTTGTATCTGTATTACTCTTGTGAAAGTAATGCACCCATCGTGGCGAATTTTTTTTTCTGGATAATCTTTACTCTGCACGTTAAACTTTTTCATATTACTTTTCGGTGGTTGACTATTTTGCGAAAATTTCTCCGCGGCTGTAAATAAAACCTGTTTTTGATTTGATTGACCCGCCATATTAGTTGTAATTTTTGCGAGTTTATTTTTTTTTTCTCTACCAATTTCATGTGAATCTGTGGTATTTGCAGAGTTACTTGTTCTCACCGATTCCGGAGAGGAAGGTGGTGTTAAAGTTTGAAGCATTATTTTATTGATTTTTATGTTTTTTGCTTTGTACGTGTAACTATTATCCATGTAGTTTAAAGAATCAAAAAATTCTGCCTTTATAGGGGTTGATATCAAAGTGAATCCCGAGTCATAAGATAATTGTGCGAATTTCAACGTAGAGTCCTTTTTGATTGGCGATGATGTATTAAAGACCTTATCAAAAGTGTTGGTATTTATAAATCCATCACCCTTATTTATCGAAAAGGAATCTGCGCTTTCATAAGAAGTTGTCGAAAGACTGTTTTTATTCTGGTCTGAAATATTAATTTCTTTAAAAAATCGTGCAGACGAAGTGAAAAGATCCCAAGTGTCATATTCGGAATGAAGCTTTTTGTATGATTGAAGTTTAGGCTCATCACGCAAATAACGTTCAAGCTCGTAACACGTCTGAAATAACAAAACAAAATTATTTTAGTAAATAGAACCACAAATTCAGTCATAGTGTTTAAATAACTTTAAATAACTAGTTTTTTAAGAACGGGTGGCAAAATAATAGGCAAAGCTACGTTATACAAAATACGTTATACAAAATAAACCAAATGAAATATAGACAAAATATTGCATGTCACATTATTACAAAAACCTTTCTAACTAAATAAATATTGTAATATTTTAATTCAATAATATTGTAACAATCTAATTAGGTGCTTTAATTGTATTTATTCAACTTACTATTTCACTAAAAATTTTTTATTTAGTTGTATGATTAATAACTGTATTATTTTGACTACACACTTTTTTTCAATTTTAAGGGACCTTACTAAATTCAATTTTAAGTCAAGTCCAACTTCCTTCATCCGAAGAAGAAGCGAAAGCCAATCGATGAGTTATAGTACGTCTATAAAAACTTAGTTGTGCGTGATTGCGTTGAGTTTTTAAGAATAAGATTTTTAAGATTATTGAAATAATCATTTAATCTTAAAACTAATATTAGTAAAACAACATACAAACATAAATAAAGGCAAAGCAAATGGCAAACGTATGCTTGGAAAATTAACAATTTACTTATTGTTTGTCTTATATCTTGTTTTGCTCTGCAGAGCTAACTTTTATCAAGGGCATCAATTTATTATTGGTTAATATGAAATTATATTTATTATGTTATTAGTACAATATCTTATCATATGGCAATACATCATTTACAAAAACATTGTTGTCAGTGTGTTATAACTAAATTGCACACTCATATGATCAGTTTCACTCTGTCCACCAACATATTCATAACATAACAAAACCAGGTCTTGAATATCTGTGTTCACGATGCGTCAGCTGAGAGCGGTCACTTTCTGCATTACCGGTTCGGGAAAATGTCCTTTCACAATCTTAGAATGCGACAGGCAATGACGGCAGATTTCGCACCGGGAGCAGTTAATCGGGAGAAATCTCTAGACCTCGCTCCGAAAGAAGAAAAACGAGCAATGGGAGGCCCCCTCGCTAAAAACGACGGTTGAGATGGTTGATGACTTGGATCTGGCACTCCTTAATCTGATTCAGGCGAGGTGGTACTGGCATCGGCATACTTTGCGGGTAACGGGGCATTTCCCCACCACCGATGTAAAAGGCTAATGGAGCACTGCAACAAAAAAAAGTCGGGTGTGACGCAAACGCACATCCCCCGTTTTCATTACCAGAGCTAAAGAGGAGTTGCTTGAACTCATGTTCGGCTGCCTGAGCCTGTCTTGTACACGAGCATGGGAGAAGAATTCTATGTCAAAGTTTTCGGAAGAAATACTGAGAGGACCTGAGCGCCGGGCTTGCACTGATCTCGGTCGGGAAAAATATCCTCTGTCACGTTGCCGAGGTAATTTCGGACTGTTTTGAGAGGCGCAACAAATTGGGTAGACGCAGTCGGGTCACACTACTAGGTTCCCAAACACGTGGGCGTAAAAGGAACGTAGTCAGCCGACGCATTGGCGATGAAGAGCGCAATCACACCTCGTCTTGTATCGGAGCCCTTCTGTTAAGTCAGACTATATACGATTCGAGGAAAGTTAAGGAACAAAAATAGAAAGGATGCGTTTAGAGCGCTTGAGTACCTTCCGGGGCTTCGACTATCCAAGGAGCTTCTGGGAGATTACGATGCTTTCAATAAAATCATAGGATTCGGCAAGAATCAGCTAAGAATTATTAGCGGTGTTTTAACGGGTCATTGTAGGCTTAGAAGGTGAAGTTGTTTGTAGATTTTGCGGGCAGAACGAGGAGGTCACGGTACAACTTCTGGGAAAATGCGGACCATCAACCGCAGGAGAGGGGAAATCCTGGGAAACTAAGTGATCAAGCGAGTTGACCAACGATCGATTCGCGTAAAAGTGGGTGGGAGAGCCTGCGCATTTAAGCTCTGCAAATTTAAGGCACAAAATTTAAAATAATTTCGACAGCAGAATGAAGTTTTAAATAGCATTCAGAAGGGCAAAATGGTATGATCGCGTACGAAACTGATAAGGAATATTTGGCGAGAGAAACCGATTGGATTCTTAAAACCAAAAGGAACTCAAAGAAGAGAAAAACCACTTGAAATTTCCAGCAAGCAAAAATGCTCAACTTAAAAAATATAAGCTGGTAATAGTTAGTAATGTAATTAATTACATGCAGCTATTATAGATCCTGTAAGAGCAAAGTATTAACGTGAAGGTAAACATGATGAACAACGATCAACTAAAAATAAATGTTGAAAATTAATATAGACAGCTAACTAAAGATTTTAAGAAAGTCAAACTGTGGTGGCATACCTATGAAAATAAATTGACGAGGCCAATTGAACTAATGCTCAGAAACCTACATCCATCATGTGAGCGACGGGATATTAAGGGTGAACTTATCCAGAGGGAATTGAAAATAAAATAATATAAGAAATAAATAAAAGTAAAAATTAAAGAAAATTACGTAAATACTATTAGAAAGTTTTTCATGTTTTCCTTCGATTCATTGAAGATATAAATAAAATATATAAAATAAAATATCTTCAGCACTTGAGACTAAAAGTTCGGCCTTTTAGAAGTAATGCGTCTACCCGCAATGCAAGAGATTCCAGAGGTTTGGACATACACAAAGATTTTGCAAAAGAGTAGCTTAATGTGTATATTCATATGATGACAGATTGCCATAAGAAACACAATTTTCAGCCTCAGTGTGCAAACTGCAATAGGTACACCCAGCTAGTTACCGAGTTAATGAATTACAAAAGAGTAGAATGAAAAGAAATTGACCTAAACGGGCCCTGGGTAATCATGAAGGGATCCCAAGAACGATAGATATAAAACCAAATAGACAGAATAACAAATATGTCAGTTTATCTCTAATCGTGCACTGTATTGGTCATAAAAGATAATTGAAATTTGATTTTGTCTTATTTGAATTTTTACAACAAGTCGTTCTTTGTTATTTTGATTTGTTTTATTATTATTATTTTTTTTTTTCTTTCTTTTACTTTTGCTTTCTTTTGTTTCATATTATATTTTGTAAATAATTGGTAAAATAACTCGAAAAAGAGCTCTAAATAATACTACTGATGCTAATGCATCAGGTAATTCAATGATGTCTAAAAGCAAAAATGACAATAACAAAAAACGAAAGCCGAATGATGTTGATAATAATTATTATTCAATTCTACAATCCAGATTTTCTGATAATCAAGATAATGATGATATTATTAATGATGATATGCAAAGTGGTGAAACTGTAAACGCATCAGCACAGCTTAGCAACAATTTGATGAACAAAAACGATATACCTCCTATTACAATAATAAATAAGAAATGAGATTTTGTGCACAAATTAATGAAAGAAAATAAGTTTGAAGATTATTATGTTAAATCAATTTCTATTGGAACAAAATTATATTGCAAATCAAAATAATTTTGAGAGTATTGGTTACATATCAAAATATTTCTGTTGTCCTAGATGAATTAAAATGTGAATTTTTTTCTTATAATTTTTAATATGAAAAGTCTTTTAAAGGGATATTAAAGCCATACTTTCTGGTATTTATGAGATTGAAATAAATGAACTTAAAATTTGTTTGTTGAAATGGGATTAAAATGTGTTGATATTAAATCTGTAAACAAAGCCACTCGCTATAACTCTAATTTATAATTATATATTGTATATTTTGAAAAAAACTCAATCAAAATTAGTGATTTGAAAAATAAATATTGTTTTATAAACAATACTAAAGTTCGTCGGAAACATAAAATTAATAAAAACAAAAAACCCACGCAATATTATAAGTGCCAAATGTTTGGGCATGGTTCTAGCCACTGCAAGGTCAAAATTCGATGCTCCTACGGTGCTGAAAATCACGACACATCCGAATGAAAAACAAAGAAAACCTAAAATGTGTTAATTGCAAAGATAGTCATCGTTCTTCAGATCCCTCTTACCCTCACAGAGCTGCTTATATTCGTTTAATTAATGAAAATAAAAATCAAACAAGACCTAAAATAGTTTCCCAAAAAACAAATCAATTTACGAAAGATTATCATCATAATTTTCCGCAATTGATTAACGACAATATAACTAACAATACTAATGTTCAAAACTCAGCCTGGAACAATTTCAGACTCGGTGGTGCTGTTTTAAACCCAAGTAATATCATAAATAACAGCAGCAACAACAAAAACAATATTGTGAGTAATAATGGTAGTATTAATAATAATAATACTACCAGTGACAACAATTGCGATACTTTTAACAAAGGTCACGTAAGAAATTTAACTATGACAAATAAATTATTTTCACTTCATGAAATCAACGGCTTCACATTTGACATTCTTACGAAAATATCAAATTGTCACAGCAGAATGGAACAATTTCAGGCCATAACTGAGCTTACTTTTAAATATATGTATAACAATGTGTAATACTGGTGTTATTAATATCATAACATGGAACGCACGTTCTATTAAAAAAAACAGACAGAATTTTTTGATTTCTTATTAAATAATAACGTTGATGTATGTCTCCATAGTGAAACTTGGCTTAAGCCAGATGTTACATTATCTCATTCAAATTACTGCATATATAGAAATGATAGAGAATTAGCAAGAGGTGGCGGAGTGGCTATTGTTATAAAAAAAAAATTTAAAACATAAATTCGTTAATAGTATTAAAACTAAACTAATTGAAAACGTTGGAATCGAACTCATTTTGAATGAACAGTCTAGTGTATACATATTTTCGGTCTACTTTCCTGGGAAACAAGTAACCAACCCTAATGGTAGCTCCATACACTTCACGAAAACAGAACTAAAATCTGTTTTTAAATCCGATATTTTGAAATTTGCTAACATGTCTAAACAATATATTGTTGGAGGCGACTTAAATGCAAGAAATAGAAATTGGGGCTGCTTACAGGCAAATACCTGGGGCAACATTTTGAACGAGCTGGT